ATGGATGGATGGATGGATGGATGGATGGATGGATGGATGGATGGATGGATGGATGTTTTTGTTTTGTTTTGAGAGCATTCTGACGGACAAAAGAATAGTGAACCATGATCTGTGTTGTCTGTCTTAGATCTGTGATGTCTGTCTTAGATCTGTCACTGTCTTAGATCTGTCACTGTGCTAGATCTGTCACTGTCTTAGATCTGTCACTGTGTTATATCTGTCACTGTCTTAGATCTGTCACTGTCTTAGATCTGTCACTGTCGTATTATGACGAGGACGACAGCGAGAAACCAGTAGAGAGAACACTCACGTCCACTCTTCCGTCGTAAGTGAAGTCATACAGGTCCACCTCAGCCCCGCGCCGGTGTCCTTGGGGCATGGAGTAGGACATCAGGGAATCTGCAAAAAAAGGGGGGAGGGGGGGGGATACGGCGTTTTTTTAGCTTAATAAAAGTAAATTTTTTTACCGCACTTGCAACACAATTAGGTCAGATAACACTAAATGTCAAAGATGAGATGTGTTACAAGACAGTAAAAAAAAATATATTTAAAAAAAAGGACGAGAGAAGAGAACGACGACACATAGATGTTTGATAGGACAGAAGGAGAAAATAACACCAGAGCACCCACCAACCACTCATATAATAAAACGTTTTTGATAGGAAAGGGGACATACTACTCAATATTATCAATCAACCGATCTCTACCATCGACAAACCTCTCAATGATCTTTAAGTTTTAGTAAGAGTTTCACGACATTTGCATCACAATAAGGTCATAAGGTCACATAAGAGACCCAATGATCTTGTTTCACCAGTTGATTGATTGTTTTAGTTATAGTTTTACGGCACTTGCAACACAATAAGGTCATATAAGTGCCGAAGATTAGAGGTGTTACAAGAGAGTAAACAAACATAAAATATAAGGAGAGATAAAGACGACAGTTCTTTGATAGGAAAGAAGAACCAAACCACACCAGAGCACCCATCAACCACCCACCAGTTGATTGGTTCTTCAATTTTGATCTTTTAAGAATAAAAATATTGCAGTTTCTTAACCCGTGATATAAGCTGCATGAGCTTTGAGAAATTTTTCATCTAAATTAAGTCCTGAAGGGTTGTCAGAAACATATAGGCCAACTTTACTGTCATTTTTCTCACGTTACTCCCAACACGTCTTGCCTTCTTTATAAATCTTCCTAAAAAGGAAAATCGTATCTCTTTACGTGAGATAGATAGATAGATAGATAGATAGATAGATAGATAGATAGATAGATAGATAGA